CCATATCCAACAGCAAGAGCACATCACTCGACTAAAGGCCATCTTTGCACCTTAACAATCTACAGACCCAGAAAGTAGCACAGTCTCACTGCTGTATGAATAGTGCTCCAGGCTACCTTAGTACCTATGTTTTTATATTTTTATTCTTTATCAAGAGACAGATCTCAATAACAACATACAATTTAAAAAAACCTCACTCTATTCACTATTGTAGATTTGCAATATATTTACAATAAGGTTACACTTTAAAAAGCCACTTAGATGCTCCGGTGCTGTGAGCTCCCACACACAGGTTTTTCCAAGGTCAGCTGTGAATTTCACTGTTGGTTTGTTTTTCTCAGAATAAACTCCAATGTCCAGAGATACTTGCACAGGTTACTACTGGGTCAGACAGCAGTGTAGGTTTCTTTCTTGTTTGAATCACTTCCCATGAGGTCACTACCTTTGTCTCTCTTCCTCCTTTTTAAAGGGCCATTGGTTTGACCATTTTTTCCCAAAGTTCCAGAACAATGCAACAGCTTATAAAGCTGTAATTACTGCTCTGACTATTTGAGCAATTCAGCTCCAACATGAAAAATACCTCGGAACGGAGCAGATCTTACAGCCACAATTTTTTTCCTGTCCTCCATCTTGCGTTACCCAAACCTCAGGGTTATAATACAGCCTTCTCAGTGCCACCTTAGTGCAGGTGATGGCACCCTGTACCTCGGCAGAAGTCAGCCATGTTTCCAAATCCCATTGTCCAGAATGCAACACTGACTTCATCATTGGGGAAACAAAATGAACTGGTGTGACCTTGCGCAGATAAAATCGATCCATGTTCTGATTTCAGTTGTGGCTGCATGATTGAAAGATTTGACACAGATCACTCACCGCTCCCTGGGAGGAACTAGTTGTAGATATATTCAATGGAGCTGTGATGTTCTCAGTCACTGGGATAGGAATGGTCATTCAGACCTGCATGTCCCACCTCAGCACCTGGCACTGTTCCGTCACTGTATCCTGAGACATCTGGAGTCTGTATCAATACTGTGCTTTGCTCATCCCCAACCAATAGAAGCAAAGGTGAAAAAATCTGGTCCTCCTTCAGTCCCTGAGAGATCCTGTGACAGCTATTTTGCTTCTCATCCTCCGTGCCAGCTTGCTGCTGCTCCTGGGTCTGCCTTCAGCCCTGGTCATCCTGCATCCTGTTCACCTTCTTAGGTAGGCAGCCACAGTGACCAACATCCCACCAGTGACATGGCACATGACTCTTGCTGGTAATGACCAAAGTTGGGAACTTAAGGAGAAAAGCAGATTCTTAGCTCTGAGAACAGTCAATGGTGGCACACCCTACAGTTGAGGACTACACATATTCCTCCTCCAGACAGTGAAACATACAGCATCCCAGTAACAAGGTCAATGTCTTCATCATTCATTCACATTCAGCTTCAGATTGTGTACCAATCTCATGAAGGTTCTGCGCCAATAAAGTGACCAACATATTACATCTACAAGGGACTGCCTGCCGCGCTTCAATCCTTTCCCATCCCAAACCCACATCAACTACAAAATTTTTCATGACATTCAGTAGACCCATCGTAATTTCTGCATGGTAGATGATGAAGTGATCATCGCCTTTTTCCACAGCATACTTGCTAGTGTCACAAGTTATCCATGGTTTTTGCCAACATTTGCTAGTTTTTTTTTAAATCAGTTGCTGCTGCATCATTGAGATGCCAATGTTCAATTTACAAGGACCAATGGCAAGGTGCAAATTGTCTTTGACCACATGCTCACACTGCATGCATCGCAGATGGATAGTTAAATGATTACAAATTAAATATAAGTGCATTTTGCAAACGCATGCTGCATGTATTAACCCCTTCAATGTCCTAGCATCCAGCAGACATTGATCCCACTCTTTCATCCATTAAACGGTACTGACTCTACCCACCAGAGTGCTGTCCCAGACATTTTCCAAATGCACTAAGCATCTACTGAATAGTGAGTGATGGAAAAGTCCACTGCTCACAGTGCACACTGTGGACACTGGGTCCCACCTGGTCACCAGTTATCTCCCCAGAACTTCCATGTCATGTTTATCTTGCAGTACAGTGAAGTAAATGTTCTGATTTATACACATTTTTAATATCAATTATTTTAAGTTTTGTTCTGGTTTCTCAGTTAGTGAGACATGGACTTTTTGTGTGTCTGAAGTTAGAAATTAACTTCTAGCTATTCTGTCGCTGTTGTGATTTCTTTTAAAGCAGTTGGTGAGAGTGACGTTGGCAACTGTTGTTGTATTTTGTTGCCTGAGGATGATTTAAACACCGGAAGTTAAATCAAAATGCTACAGGATCTTTTAGAAATCTCTGGACTTAGATTTTTGTTAAGCTCAGGGGAAATACCAATAGCTTTAATGGAGAGAAACGTTTCTTCACGATTACTTTATTTTGGGCCGTTGTATCAAGTCTTTACTTGGGGAATGTTATACAGAGCAGAGTCAGATTATCTTCAATGTGCAAACTAGATTTTCTTTAGAGTAAAAAGCTTTTGTTAGTCCCAAACCAGAAATAATGGGATAAAACCATGAACGCATGACTTGTAGCTGCGTGTGTTTAAGGTGAAGTGTATCGTAGTGCTGGGAAGAAACTATCAGCATTTCCAGTTTAGGAGATAAAGTCATACTTTCTGTCCATCTGTGGGGTATCAGAAAAAGATATTTTCCTCTGGTGTGATTTCTGTAAAAGAATATCTTTGGGTATTGTTGAAGGGATGCATTGGAACTTGTTAAGGAGAGTTGTATATTAAAATAGCATCCCTACGTTGTGGTAGTAGGCCATTCGGCCCATCGAGACCACACCCACACTCCGAAGATCATCCCAACCTAATCCATTCCCCTGCCCTATCGCTGTAACCCTGCAATTCTCATGGCTAATCTACCAAATCTGCACATTTCTGGACACTACGGGCAATTTAACATGGCAAATCCACCTAATCTGCACATCTTTGGACTGTGGGAGGAAACCAGAGCACTGGAGGAAACCCACGCAGACACGGGGAGAATGTACAAACTCCACACAGAGTATTGCCTGAGGGTGCATTCAAATCACAGTCCCTGCAACCGTGAGGCAGCAGTGTAAACCACTGAGCCACAATACCACATTATACTTTTACTGTGTGTTTAAAACTGAGTTTTATTGTAAATTATTATTTTGGTTTATTCCGTTTTATCTTCTTTTCATTAATAAGGCTTATAAACCTTTATTGTAAAAACAAATTCTGTAACATCGTTTGCTTATGTTTCACTGAGAGACTACCTTGTTAAAGCCAAAACAAAACAATATATAATCAATCAAAGACAGTAGGAACTGCAGATGCTGGAGAATCTGAGATAACAAGGTGTAGAGCTGGATGAACACAGCAGGCCAAGCAGCATCAGAGGAGCAGGAAAACTGACGTTTTGGGCCCAGACCCTTCTTCAGAAATGGGGGAGGGGAAGGGGATTCTGAAATAAATAGGGAGAGAGGGGGAGGCGGTTAGAAGATGGATAAAGGAGAAGGTAGGTGGAGAGGATACAGACAGGTCAATGAGGCGGGGTTGGAGCCAGTATTCCTCGGACTCCCAATTCCTCCGACTCCACCACGTCTGCTCCCAAGATGGGGCAATCCACTCCCATACATCCCAGATGTCGTCTTATTTCAAGGACCGTAACATTCCCCTCTGGTCATTGAAAATGCACTCAAATGTATCTCTTGCATTTCCCGCACCTTTGCCCTCACATCCCCTCCCCCCAACAAAATTAAAGACGGAATCCCCTTTGTCCTCACATATCACACCACCAACATCTGCATCCAGCGTATCATTCTCCACCACTTCCGCCACCTCCAATCCGAACCCACAACCAAAGAGATATTTCCCTCCCCACCCCTATCTGCCTTTTGTAGCAACCGCGCTCTTTGTGATTCCCTCGTCCGCTCCACATGTCCCCCAGCCCCACCACACCTGGCACCTTTCCCTGCAACTGCAGGAAGTGCTACACCTGCTCCTACACCTCCCCCTCACCTCCATTCAAGGCACAATACAAACCTTTCATATCAGACAAGGGTTGACCTGCACATCCACCAACTTGAGTCTACTGCATCTTCTGCTCCCGAAGTGGCCTCCTCTACGTCGGTAAAACCAACTGGAGACTCAGAGACTGTAGTGTAGAGCACTTGCGCTCTGTACGTGACAAACGACAACATCTTCCAGTCGCGAACCATTTTAACTCCCCCTCCCACTCCCTGGGTGACATGTCCATCCTGGGCCTCCTCCAGTGTCACAGTGATGCCACCTGCAAACTGGAGGAGCAGCACCTTATATTCCACCTTGGAAACCTCCAGACCGATGGCCTAAACATGGAAATCCCAGCTTCAAAACCTTCCCATGCGCACTCTCATCGCCGCCTCCTTACCTGACACAACCTGTCCATCTTCTCTTCCACCTATCCATCCCTCTCACCTCACTGACCAATCCCCACCACTCCCTACCTGCACTCACCTATCACCATCTCACCTACTTTTCCCAGCCCCACCTCTCCTCTCGCTATTTATTTCTGAGCTCTCTTCCCACTTCTCCATTTCTGAAGAAGGGTCCTGACTTGAAACGTCAACTTTCTTGCTGCTCTGATGCTGCCTGGCCTGCTGTGATCCTCCAGCTCCACACTTTGTTACCTCTGACTCCAACATCTTTAGTTCTTGCTATCTCTGACTGTAAAGTTTAACTTTATTTCTTTGTTATCCTGCCTTTGTAGTCTGTGTTTTGTTTTGTTTTTCTGTGTTTTAAGATGGCACCAGATTGTGGTGATACTAAGCAACACTTTTCATTGTTTTAGTAACAAAATGCAGGTGGCAATAAATCAAATCACAGATTTATTTTTAACATGGATTATGAATATTTCAGGTGTAAGTTCTTGCCAAGAAAGTTAAGCACCATTACTGTCCACTGCACAGATTTAAATTGAACTTCTTCCATAGGAAACCATGGATGCAACAATGACAAGTGTAACAGAGCAGGAACCACAGTCATCACAAGCAGGCAGAAATGATGAAACTGATGAAAGACAGAAGCTACTAAAAGATAAGGGCCAGGAGGTATGTAGTGCTCAACATGGTAGATCAAACAAGGCTCAAGGTCTGTCTGAGGCACATTAGTATTTAGGAGTTTGATTTGTTGAATATTTTCACACATGAAAAACGCTGTGTACTGGCACTTTGTTGTCATTGTTCTTTGTCATCGTGCATCTTGACATTTCATCATTGGAAGTACTTTTCTCGATGGTGTGGAGATTCTGGCACACTGTCATGAACTGTGTTCCAAAAATTTAGAAATCCAGCCAGAATCTCTTCTGATTCCCTCTCAAGATCTGCCCTGGTGGGATTTGAATCCAGGTCCCCAGAATGTTATCTGGATTTCTAGATTAACAGCCCAGTGATAATACCACCAGGACATCACCTACCCCTGTTGACACTCTGCATCTGTTTTCTCTTTTTCTGTCCTTGAACTATGCAGGTGTCTGTGGAATACACCACATATTCCTGTATCTCTGTCAGTGTCAGAAATCAATGCAGTTGGGTCAGTGAGTACCATCTCTGTCGGCCTGGAACAGCATTTTCCATTGGCCAATGGGCAAAGCATCTTCTGTCACAAAGTCGGGAAGATCTGGCTCATAATGAGCTGGTATTCGAGAAGAGAGAAACGTTTCTTTGCTTTGTTCAAATGTTATCCATTTTGACAGTTGTTGTTCCAGTGTCGAATGGAGTTGTGCATTGGACCCCTGCACATTTCCCATCATAGTACAATCTGAAAGATTTGCCCATGAAATTGAATTTTCTTTTGGACAGTGCCTCCACACATTTAAATCAGAGACTTTGGATGATACCAATGAAATTTAAGTGAAATAGTTAATCAGGAAAAGTCAGACCGTAGATAAATTGAATGTTGCTGTGTTGATTTCAATTTGTAATGGGCCAAATTTATCACATAAATTACAGTTGGTTTAATGGCTAATTATCAGTAATGTGCATAATTGATAATAGATTCAGGTGAGTGCAGATGAGCAATTTAATGTGAAAGCTTGTAATTTGTTGACCATGAGTTACATCTTGGTCTCTAGCTTCCCAGTCAAATGTATTGAATAGTATGAAGTTGCTGTACTGACATCCTAGCAATGGGTCAAATTCACCATTTAAAAAAATGGGCACACCCATGCACTTTAAGTATTCTTTTACCAACATTATAAATCTTAATTGGTACAAAATATACTCTGCGGCACTAAAAATGAATACTTAAAAATTATGGAACCTCATCAGTTCAACTTTAATTTAGGGATCAAAACTTTTAAGATGACTTAATCTTTTGGATTCTTTTATAGTTTTTCTCTCTCAATTATGAGCATTTTCCTTATCTAAGTCTTAAATGGTGGCCCCCTGAATTGAAGATCACACCAGTGATGCCCCAGTAGAGAGAAATAACAACTCAATGAATATCCTGTCAAGTCTCTTCAGTATCTTACTTGTTTCAATGGGATTGCCTCTTTCTTCGAAGCTCCAGAGAACATAAACACAATTACTCAAATCTTTTAACAAAGGATAACTCTCACTGTGCAAAAACCAATTTAGTAAACATGTGCTGTACTATTTCTAAAGTTAGTTAATCATTCCTTTGATATGGAAAGCACAATACTTCATGTTTGGACTCCCCAACATCCTTGAAAATTGTATGCCATTAGCATTAAGTTCCAAATACCTTTTGATAAATGTCAACATGCCATTTAAGATCCTTTAAAAACAGGAAGAAGAGAAGCAATGGCCTAAAGATGAAAAGGCAGCAAAATTGGCGATGGAGGTGGAAGAAACTCGGCGACGAATGGAAGAAGATAATCTCCTGAGAATGCAGGAAAAGAATCATCGAGAAGAAGAGCAACAGAAATGCGAAGATGTAGAACGAGATAAAGAACTACAGAAACAAGAGTCCATACGACAACAGCAACAAGAAGCATTGAGACGTTTACAGCAACAGCAGCAACAACAAAAGCTGGCACAAATGAAGGTAGATATTAAAATGATGTATTTTATACTTGGGTTTTCTGGGAACAAGGATAATAAAAGTTTCATAAATGTAAAACACAACATTTGAATTAGTGATCACTTGAGGTTTATAGAAGACCTAGTGAGTAATTTCTTAACACAGAGAGTGGTGCATGTACCGAACAAGCTGCCAGAGTAATTAGTGGAAGCAGGCACAATTACAACATTTAAAAGGCATCTGGATGGATATATGAATAGGGAGAGTTTAGAGTGATAAGGGCAAAATTAATGGCAAATGGGACTAGGTCAGACTTGGATATCAGGTCAGTGTGGACAAGTTGGAATGAAGAGTCTGCTTCCATGCAGTATAACTCTATGACCTTCCCAATATAATATAAACTTTCAGTGTTTCTTGCATGAGTACTCACATGTTATCTGACTGTTAACGTTTAGAAGTATTATACCTTTGAAACAACTTCTGCATTTGTGTTTTTACTACCAAAGTGAATAAGCTCATGTTTTGCCACTTGATTGGCTTGTTGCTCACTTACTTATCTGCCAATCTCTCTTTGCAGCCACTTGTGTTGTTCATCCAGCTTAAATTTTCACCTCTTTTATAATTGTCATTCTTAGTCCAAGTCATTCATATAGATTATGAATATCGGACGCCCTAGCACTGACCATTACAACATTTGCTATTTTTTAGTAGTAAGTCATAGAATAGTTAGGATGCAAAAGGAAGCCATTCAGTTCAATCTCTGTAAAATTCACTCTGCCACATTGTTTCCCCATAGCTCTGAAGATTAGTTTCCTTCAGGTGATTATCCAAGTACTTATTGAAAGCTTCAACTGAATCTGACTCCATGCTTGAGATCCTAACTTGTTGCTTCCTAAAATAGTTGTTTTGGTTGGATATTGACATTTCACTGTATATCTGCTTTCATTTGACCCTTCCATAAACAGGAAACATTTGTACTAACTAAAGCAGAGGTTGCTGGAGAAACTCAGCAGGCCTGATAGCATCTGTGGAGACAAAGCAGAGTTAATGTTTTGCATCCAGTGACCCTTCTTCAGAACCACTGACTCTGTATAGATCTCTCAGGATTTTGAACACCCCTATCAAATGCCCCTTAACATCCCATTGCCCAAGGATAGAACATAGTACAAATGGTAGTTTTCCCCTTGAATTTGTATTCTTGTAAAATGTCCTGATGAGTGCAACATGAAAAGCTTGGAGAAAATATGGCTTTTTTTAAGCAACACTTCCTTAATAATAGATTTCAACATCTTCTAATGATTACTGCCAGGTTAACTGGCCTCTCGTTCACTGTTTGCTCTTTCTCTTCCTTTTCAAATAGCAGCTTTAGACTTATTGAATTCTAAGTCTACAGTCGAGGTGTTTTGAAAAATTATAGTCTGTTTTTCCAGTATCTGTGTGACTAGTTCTTTTTGAATCTTCATATATGTACCATCCGCTCCTGTGGATTTGCCAGTTTATAGTCTGTTAAATGTCTTTAATCTCTGGTACCAACCTGCCTGCTGATTTTGCCATCCTGCCACCTATCCCGTCACATCTCAGCCCTATATCTAGCCCTATATTGTTGGCGTGTCATTTTGTTTTTTTTTTACTTTAAAGACAGACACATGAGAAATATCTGTTTAGTGTTTCTGTGATCTCATTGCACTCATCCAAGCAAGTGGGGAGTACTCCATGACACTCCTGACTTGCGGAACAGGTTTTCAGTAGTCAGGAGTTAAGTTACTCACTGCAGGACTCCTAGGCTCGGACCTGCTCTTGTAGCTGCTGTATTTATATGGCTAGTCCAGTTCAGTTTCTGACTAATTTTATTCTGCAAAGAATATACTTTATTCATAAAAGTGAAAATCTTTATGTACATACACAATTACTAAAGCAGTTCAGATCTATATCGTTTGTTGCGTACAGAGAAGAAAACAAACATTGGCGTTTGGCTTTCTCAATTGTTACAATTAATCTAAACACATTTCTTAATTATGCTAGGTACTAGGACCTATTTACATGTATCTGAGGCATCGGGAGGGTTTGATAACTCAACAGACCCGGTTGTACTTTGGCAGAAAGACCTCAGACTGTGGTCTTTCCCCACTGTGCCTTGGCGGCAGCTGCCCCAAGTTTTAGTGCCTCCCTTAGCACAGAATAACCCCCAGGATATTGATAGTGGGGGATTTAATGAAAGTAATGCCGTGGGGTGGTGGTTTGGTTCTCTCTTGTTGGTGATGGTTATTGTTAGACATTAGTTTGATTGTTACTTGCCACTTGTCAGCCCAAACCTAAATGATACCCAGGTCCTGCTGCATTTGGAGGTGGATTGTTTTTTCATCTGAGTTGTCACAAATGGTCTGAACAATGTGCAATCATCAGCGAAAGTCCACATTTCTGACCTTATGATAGAGGAACCTAAATTGGGCGTCAGCGACAGACTATTGCTAAGAAGTGCACTGATTGCACTGCTGACACCACGTTCCATCACCTTACTGATCATTGACAGCAGACTGATGGCTAGACTGGATTTGTCCTGATTTCTGTATATAGGCCATACCTTGGCATTTTTCCACATTTCTGGGTAGACACCAGGGCTTATTACCTTTGCAAGATCCAGCTATCACGAAGTGCAAATCGAATTAGCTGACGACTAGCATCTGTAACGCTGGAGACCTCTAAAGGAAAGTTGTAGGCTGAATTACTCCATTCCAAGAACAAATAAGAAAAAAACTATTTCCTCTCTTGTTCAAATGGAAATATATGGATTGATGTGTGTATCGCTCAGCTTTTCATTAGGAAATTGCTCTGTGAATTGGGGAGGGAGAAGTGGCTAATTTCCTTTTTCCAATTTACCAGATGCACAAAATTTCACATATTATAGAGCTGTTTCCGCTTGGATTTACAAAGACGGAGTCAAATAACATTTTCATTCATTTCTCAAAGTTTTTAATATGTTCAGCATTACGAACAGGTTTGACAACACTACAGCATTACATTAGTAGAAAATTTCAAAGTCCTTATGAGGATTATATAAAGTATTTTGTCTTAATTTTAAAGTGTGATGTAATTATGTTTTCGTATTGTGTTTCAATTTCTTTCTAGGACTATGCTACGTATGATCTGTTTGCAATCTGTGATCATACTGGAGTAAAGGACAGTGGCCATTATGTTGCATATATTAAACCAATTTCTTCCCATAAATGGTATTGTTTTAATGATGCACTTGTCCATGAGGTAAACATTATTCTCATTACTGACACTTTCAGAGCATGTGTTTTAGATTTTCCAGGATAATTTGTCAAATATTTTACATAATCCAAATATATTTTAGAAATGCACTTGTATAAATTACTTAATATTTTGCTGTAGGTAAAATTGTAATTTTAATCATAATTTCTATATAAAGAAAAGCTTCATTTAGAAATGATTTCCAGAAAGCATTGCTGTTAATTTCAAGGGAGAAAATACACATTGTTGTTTTAATTTGGCACTGCTCCCTATTCCAAATCCCACTAATAAGGTTTTGTCAGAGGGCAGCAGCCATTCATATCCAACAGAGATAGCATAATCTTGGAATGCCACCCTGCCATTACAAAAAGGGAGTAACAGGCCAATTAGAACCTGGGTTAAAATGATCACTGAAATGTTTTGCCTATGATGTTGGGTCACTGTTCCAATTAGAATTAACCACTCTGGCTTCAATTATTGAGTGGAGACACAACTCTGTGGGCCTCATTCAGCTGAGTAGGGAGCCTACATCTACTTCTGGCGATTGTTATACAATTCAGATGCATATTTGGCAAATTTCCGAGGAGTGTGCCATTAGGTGCTTTCCAAGATTGCTGCCAAAAGATATAACTTCAGACAGAAAAAGTGCCAGAGACTCTGGCTCAGAATTTGTCAAGGCATCATGGAAGGTGGAGAAGCACTGAGGTCTCAGATTCTGCCATAATTTCCACGTACCTTCCCTGCTTTGTCTGATTTGCTTGTGTGATGCCTGCTTCTTCTCTTTGCTTGAAGTCTTGATTATATAAGTTTTGATTTTACAGCTTCAGAACAAGTTAAATTAAATATATCTTTAGCAATTTGTAAACTTATTAATTACTGGTCTATAAAAATTAGACATCAAAAAGCTTTTCTGAGTTACTTGAATAACTTTGGCTTACAATGTCACATGGGGTTTGAAAGGAATGAATAAACACAAGTATCATTTGTTCAGCACCTTGTTTTGAATTTTGAGCAGCAGAATAGTTCCAGGTACCTTTTGTTAGGTAAATATTTGCATCATTGTTTGTTAGACAGCCTTCCTATGGACAATTTTTAATTGTGGTGCAGCTGATATGATGAAAGGTATGATGGCAATATAACCAACGACTTGCTGACTATGTTATAGAGCATGCCCATTCTGCCAGTTGCTGCAGGCAGAATACTAACTGTGCTTACAAAGCTGAGAACATAATTTCCATTCCGATAATGCTAAGAATTAAAGGTAAAGTCACTGCAGTTTTGACAGGCCATAGGACTGCCCTTATAGAAGAAAGTGATGACTGGTGGTCGTTTAACCTGAGGGTAACCAGGTCTTAGGCAGGGAGAGAGATTGAGAAAGAGAGTTCTTCATGGTGTGCTAAGACTTACACCAAACAATCAATTTAAAATTGTTTGTTAGGGTCACAAAGTGGCAAATCTATGATTGCAGGCACCTATCATCTGCAGGCAAAAGGACCTTGTGCCGGCATGGGGAGCAATAGTTTCATGGCAACACCTTAATCAATGAGAGTCAACTTGCCAGAGTTCTTTCCTTATGCACTAAGATTGCTGTTCCTTTTGAAATTTGGCATTCTTCAGTTTGTGCTAATAACATAAGACAGCAAAGCTTCACTTTTTTGTAAATCTCTTTTTCAGCAAAATGCAATATCTTTTATCTTCAATTCAGTCAGACTTTCATCAAATTATTTATTTCACAGCAGAAAGACATCATTTCCGAAGAATCCTGTGGTGGTAGCAGCAGCACTTCAGACGTACAATCTATAAGGTAATTGTGTTATGTAACTGACTTTCTAATTAAATCTTCTTGATTATTCCCTAGTTTGCATGCTAAATTAATTCTAAAAGACTTTCAGAACATCAAATTTAAGAAGAGAGCTAATTTTTGATATCATATCCATTTTTTAACCATAGATCATCCACAGCATACATGCTAGTGTACAGGAAGGAGGAAGTAAACAGCAATCAAGGTAAATCAAGCCCTCCATTCTAATATGATATTAATAATTGATACAATGTGGGTGAATGTGAGTTTATCCACTTTGGTAGCAAAAGCAGGAAGGCGGATTATTATCTGAATGCTGATAGTTTGGGAAAGCAGGAGGTTCAACAAGAACTGGGTGCCCTTGTACATCAGTCGCTGAAAGTGAGTGTGGAGGAGCAGCAGGCAGTGAAGAAAGCAAGTGGTAAATTGGTCTTCACAGCAAGAGGGTTTGAGTACAGGAGTAGGGCTGCAATTGTACAGTGTCTTGATGAGACTCACCTGGGGTATCGTGTGCAGTTTTGGTCTCCTTATCTGAGGAAAAATGTTCTGGCTATGGAGGGAGTGGAGTGAAGATTTTCCAGACTGACTCTTGGGATGGCAGGACTGACATACAAGAGTTCAAGTTGATTAGGATTATATTTACCGGAGTTCAGAGGAATAAGAAGGAGGATCTCACAGAAACCTATAAAATATTAACAGGAAGGATGTCCCTGATGACAGGGTCTCCAGAACAGTCTAACATTATGGGGAAAGACATTTACAACTGAGATGAGAAGAAACTTCTTCACTCAGACAGTGGTGAACCTGTGGAATTCTCCGGCACAGAAAGTGATTGAAGACAAGATATTGAATGTTTCCGAGAAAGAGGTAGATATAGTTCTTAGGGCTAAAGGGATCATAGGATTTTTAGCGAAAACGAACAGGATACTGAATAGGATGATCAACTATGATCATGTTGAATGACACAGCAGGCTCAAAGGACTGAATGGACTATTCCTGTTCTTGTTTTCTGTTTCTATCAGTTTATATTCAGCAAGCAAATATGTACATCCATACCTCTCTCAGAAATTTTCAAACATAAAGATGTGTTTCATTCAAATGCATGCACTATTACAGTTCTGGGCTTGTGTTGCTCAAATAATAGATTAAAAGTGAGGATAATTTATGCACAAACATAATTTACACTTTGCATTCTAGGTACTGTTAAGTGTTACTCCAATGTATTTTGTTAGTTATGCAGTTGACAGCTTACATCCCTCAGGTTGCAGCCATTTATTAGTATTTAATTGTATGCATGGAATATATTTACAGAAGCTAAATTTCCAAACTACAATGTAAGTTAGTTCCATTTACATGCTTTGCATTTAAAATTTCTTTCCTCAAAATATTGATTTTTAAAGATTTTGATAACACATCTTCCATAGAGTGAGCTAAATGAATTGTGTCTTTAGCAATTTGTAAAATTATTCAACACTGGCCAGCAAGAATTAAACTTCAAAAGGAGATTTTCCGAGTTACTTGAATAATTTTGTCTTTAATTGTCACTTTGGGATTGAAAGGAATGAATAAAGACAGAAGTATCTTTAACTGGTCATGTCAGTTGCTCAGCATTTCACTTTGAATTATCAGCAGCAGAAAAGTTCCAGGTACCTTGTGTGTGGAAAACCTTTGCACATGTTTATATCAGGGTTGGTTAAACAGACTTTGAATTATTTAATTGTGACAGGATGTTTTATTGTAAATGCAGATTTAGTGCTTGCTCAGATATTCTGCTCATTCTTTAATTGTGTAGTTTTGTGCCCACTCCCATCAGTTTAGATTCAAGACAAACTGATCTAAGAAGAGGAAATGCCAAGACTTATCTTTAGGCTTGGTCTTCTTTATCATACTCTTTATTACCTATTAAGACTAAATAATAAAATACATGGTATTCAGGGATATACCAGGCTGTAATTTTATTGTTACATTGTTGAAAAACTAATCCATAAACTCCACTGCCAAATGTTAGCTGTAGAAATGCTTCTTTGCATATATATTTTTAACTTTAACATGGCTAGACATCAAGGTCCTGGCTAGATCTCCATGTAGTTTTCTCCTCTCTCCCATAACTCTGCCCACTGTGCTATTGATGCCTTGTGAGAAACGGATCATTGCACTGTTACTACAGGGTCCTAAAGCCCTTAAATAACACAAAACAGCCATGATCCAGTCACTGAGGATCAATTAAATCCACAGCATGTTTTACGCAGGTGGGCAGCAGGCAAAGTGCAGTTGTTAAACTTAAGGCTGATATTTTAAACATAAGAACATAAGTACTAGGAACAGAAATAAACAATTCAGCCCCTCGAGCCTGTTCCATGTGTTAAAATGATCATGGCTGATCTCAGTTTGTCCTCAACTGCACTTTCCTGCCCACATAATCCTTCAACCATTATGAATTAGAAAATCAATCTCCTCATTGAATTTACTCAATGCTCCAATATCCAATGCACTCTGGGGTAGTGAATTCCACAGCTTCACAATCATTTGAAAGAAGTAATTTCTCTTCATTTCTACTTCAAATTTGCTACCCCACATCCTAAACTTATTTTAGATTGCTCCACAAAAGAAAACATCCTCTTTACTTTGTCAATCCCATTTAGCATCTTGTATACCTCAATTGGATCTCCTCTCATTCTTCTCAACCCAAGGAAACATAGGCCTAAGCCAAACAGTCTCTCTTTATAAAACAAACCCCTTACCTCTGGAATTAATCTAGAGAACATCCTCTGAAATGTTTCAAGTGCAATTGCATCCCACCTCAAACAAGGGAACCAAAATTAAATGTAATACTCCATGTGCTTTCTTACTAGTGCATGGTACAATTGCAGCAACACTTCCCTACTTTTATACGCTAATACATTAGCAATAAATGTCAAATTTCCATTTGCCTTCCTTATTACCTGCTGTACCTGCAAACTAGTTTTATGAGATTCATGCTTGAGTACACCCAGATTCCTCTGCATTGAAGCACTCTGAAGTTTCTCTTCATTCAGATAATAATAAATTGTTTTTCAAATCTTCACACCAAAATGGATAACCTTACATTTATCCAGGTTAAACTCCACCTATCCGAATCAATTTGTTAAATTTCTTATTTATTGCAACTTATTTTCGCATCTACTTTAGTGCCCTCTGGAAAATTGGCAATAATATCTTCAATCCCTGCATCCAAGTCATTAATATAGAATGTGTGCAGGAGCAGCCCAAGGACTGAAGCTTATGGCACCCCACTGGTTACATCTTGCCAACCAGAAAAAGACCCATTTGTCCCGACACTCTGCTTTCCGTTGGTTAGCCAATCCTCTTTTAAAGCTAACAAATTACCCCCCACCAAACACATGTGATGTTAACTTGTGTATTAAGTTTTTGTGTGACACCTTATCAAATGCCTTCTGAAAGTCCAAATACACATATTTGAAGAATTCCAGCAAATTGTTAAACATGATTTACCCTTCATAAAACTATGCTGACCGCTGTTGGATTGCATTTTGACTTTGCAAATGTCCTGTTATTAATTCCTTCATAATAGATTCTGACAATTTTCGAACAACGGATGTTAAACTAACTGGTCTATAGTTTCCTGCTTTCTGTTGCCCTGTCTTCTTAAGTAAGGGTATTATATTAGCAGTTCCGATCCACTGGAACCCATTCCACATCCAGGGATTTTGGAACATTGTAACCAATGGATCCACTGTCTTTCTTGCCACTTTTAAGATCCTAGCATGTAGGCCATCAGGCACCGGGGTCTTGTATATGTTCATTGCCTTCAACTGTTCAGTACTTTCTCCCTATTGACAAAGGTAATTGTTCTAAGTTCCTCCCTTTCTTTAACCTTTGCATTACCTCTTACTATTAGGATGGTACTAGTGTGCTCCATCATGAAAGCCAAAGCAAAACGTTGATTTAATGTCTCTGCCATTTCTGTATTCCCCACTACTAACTGCCCAGTCTCATCCGGCAAGGGACCAATATTTACTTTAGCTACAGTCTTCCCTTTTATATACTGCAGAGGGTTTTGCTATCTATTTGTGTATTTTGTACTGGACATGACAAAATCTAAAATAATCTTTACTTTCACTTCTTTTGGTGCTACTTGTCTTTGTCCCACAGTGTGGCCTAAATAAGTCACATTTGCTTCAGCAAATTCACTCAATCAGATTTATAACCAAGTTGGCTTATAGCTGATCAAACAGTTTAATAAACTGGCACAAATGCTCTTCCCAGGATTGGCTAAAGCAACCAAATCATCAATATAAATGACACACTTACATAATAGTTCAATAACTTGATTGGTGAATCATTGGAGTGTTGCTGGTGCATTTTTGTTGTCCCAAATGGTTTAATTTTGCATTTATAAAGTCCATCAAATGTTATGAAAGACAATATTTCTGTAGCTCTATCAATCAATAGAACTTGCTAATAACTTTATATAGTTTTTTTTTGTGACAATGCCCAAATTGTTCAATGTAGTTTTCCAAACTTGGAACAGAATATGAGTCAACTGTTGTAACCACAGTGACTCTGTATTGATTATTGCAAAATCGTTATGGTCCATCTGGTTTCACCCCCATTATGATAGTGAGCTCCATCTATTATGATTCAGTTCAACAATGTCCATCATAAATTTAATTCCTTCACTCACTTGAACTAATCTCTCTGGATTGAGTCTGTAAAGGCGTTTGAGAGATAATATATTACTCAATATTAACATCATCAACAGCCAAACTGTTGTCCTGGCTTATTCACACATGTTGATTTAGAACTCTTTAATAACCTAACTTAATACAAGTCACTTCAGTAATTTTCTGGAAGATAAAACATCGATACTATCTAACCTTTGAGCACCTCCATATTTTCAAATCAGATTGCAGGAGGATCACAATTTCAATTTCTGACTTATTCTCCAATTATTCTGATATTTCTATTTTGCTACTTCCACTGCTGTAAGTATGTTTTCTTCCTGATTGTTAACACTGTCATGATATCTTTAACATGTTACCATGGCACACTCACTGATTCTTTCTCCTGTCTGGAGCACTGACTACATGATTCACATTATTGAGTTTCTTTTTGATTTGATAAGGTCCCGTGAACCATGCTTTTTGTGGTTCCCTGAGCCAGATAATCGCAGAAACACATTGTCATGCACAACAGAACTTTGAACTTTGGGCCTTTTTATCTGTTTTAATTTTTGTTTGCTGGACTGCCTTCAAATGCTTTTTAGTCAATTTACAACTTTTGTTCAGCTTCAGTCTGAAATTCAAGACATAGATTAGAAGTGTAATTATTTCAATCTGAGGATAATCCATATATTGTAAAAAAAATTGAACTAACTTTTCAATTACCATTTTCACAGTAATTTTCACTAGAAGTACTGCTTCAGGAAATCGCATGAAACATTCATTATTGTTAAAGGATTGTGGCTGAAACTTACTTTTTTGGCTATGTGTCAATGATAATAAGTTTCAAGGGTGTTTTATCTCCAAGAGGCTCAGTGAGATTTCTCATATTATCGTCTCAAACTCACCTCATTCACTACCTACGCCACCCAGTAGGTCCAATTCTAGCCCTATTCTACCACTCACTGTGACCAGAAGAAGGGGTGACATGGTGACTCGGTGGTTGGCACTGCTGCCTCACAGTGTCAGGGACCTGGGTTCAATTCCAGCCTTGGGCAACTGTCTGTGTGGAGTTTGCACATTCTCCCTGTCTCTGTGTGCATTCCCTCTGGGTGCTCCAGTTTCCTCCCACAATCCAAAGATACGCAGGTTAGGTGGATTGGCCATGCTAAATTGCCCATAGTGTCCCAGGATGTGTAGGTTATGTGGATTAGCCATAGGAAATGCAGGGTTACAGGAATAGGGTAGGGGGTAGAGTCTGGGTGGGATGCTCTTCTGAGATTTGGTGTGGACTTGTAGGGTTGAATGGCCTGTTTCCGTATTGAAGGGATGCTATGCATTTGCCGCTGCCTGGACATCCTAGCATTGCCTGACATCTTTAACTGGTTGTTGTACATCCGGGAAAGCACTGTCTATCTGGAGTAGCCTGCATGGTTTGTAGCAGGTCATATTCACGATAGAAAAGTGGAAATTGATGCACCGTTTTGTGGGGAGCCACGTTGGTGGATGCAAAAAGGCAAGACAAGGCAGGGATGCTATAAACATTGAGGTAAGCTCAAGGCAAGTGAGCTCCAAAAGTGTATATTTGCATTCATGAGATGCAGCCTGATCCAGACCATGAGCTGGTTCTTTGTCCATGTCCGTGCACCAAGTCTCCTTGCAGTAGTGTTTCAATGCTTGAAGCCATTGCTTTGAAGTGCAGTTTTAAATTGCAGAAGTAAATGGATCGGAAAGGTAACATGGGGTCCTAACAAGCTGGCAAGTGTCATAGAATCATAGAGTCCCTACAGTGTGGAAGCAGGCCATTTGGCCCATCAAGTGCACCTCGACCCTCCGAAGAACATCCCACCCCATCCCTGTAACACTGTCAGATGCTAGCATTGTGGATGAGGTGTTAGTGTGGCCAATGCACTGGAGCATGCCCTGAAATATTGTTGAGAATATTTGGTGTCTCGTTTCCTTTCAGTGCATGGTATGGTAGGAAGCCGTATATAAATAATGCGAGGTGTATTGTTAATGAAGCCAATAACAAGCAATAATCCTCATTAATAGAAAACTTGCTGCTGCCGAGCAAGACTCTCATCTCCAAGTTTGGAACTGAGTTAGAAAATGTAGCAAGCTTCTCCTTATGTTGTGAAAGGACTCATCCATTTTCATTAAACTTTTAAAAAATGTATCCAATAACCTCCTCTTCTTCCTGTTATGGGCCTGAGATCTTGTCACAACACAGTCAGGAAAGAATCCAGGATGTTACTCTTGTAATATTTCAGTTTCTTTTACCTCTGTGGATTGTTCTAATACCCTTGATGAGGTTAATATTTTTGAACCTGCCAGGTCATTTCATAAAATAAAATCAAACCCTTCTATAGGAATTTGTTTCACCACTTCCAGTCCAACAACTTCTTTTTACCAAGTCTCTTTTTAATTGAACTCTGTATAATAAGATTGGTTTGTAACCAGATATTCTGTTCACTGCCCTTTGATTGAGGTTAAATTGAATCCACGGTGTATTTTACATGGCTGGACAACAGGCAAATGTAAATTGTAATTGTTGGCCCAGGTTTAATACCCTTGTATGATATTTGTGTAGATTCATCTACACACCAGTTGACAGCTACCTCAAGTGGTGTAAAGTGATTGCTGTGTTTCGGAGAGGACCTTCAGGGGGCCAATAGCCAAGGGAGGTTCATCAAAAAGAATGAATGACAGAGGGTAGTGGGTAAGACAGGACATCAAATGAGGAAACCTTGCAACGTTAGGCTGCACGCAAGTGAGTATTTTTCTTGCCCTGGAAGATGTCTTCACTCTTCCTGACAACAATCAAACTTGCTTTCAACTGCGGAGAGAGCCACTTGCTCTTCCTAACTTGGACTAATAGCTGTCAACATAAATTAATACAATAGGATCAATATCATGTAAAATTCTTGTACTCCAAATTCTCACAGGCAGATACATTAAGCCTGCAGCAATTTAAGAGTTAAGGTTGGAGTTCTGTTAACCCTGTTTCTCTGTCCACAGTTGAAGCCAGATCTGCTGAGTTTTTCCAACATCTTTTGCTTTTATTCCATTTTTCTAGCATCTGCCTTATTTTGCTCTTAAAATAATACTGTGCTTTGATTTAAACTGTACAATCAGGTTTGTTTTATCCTTGTCATTTTTCCAAAATGTTTCAAAGGAGGGAATGCAGATGAAGATGAGCAATGTAATGAACAAATGAGTAAGAGAAAATTCAGTGAAATTGGAAATGGAGAAGATAACCATGACTTTGAACAAAGCAATCCACCTTCTAACCAAAATACAGATGATTCACCAGGAAATATTGACATAGAAATGAAAGAGGAAAATGGGACAGAGGAAACAAAGGAAAATATGAGGCGGGAATTGGTGGAAAATGGAAGACTGATGCACAGTACAGATGAGAAAGAAGGTAAGTGGGTTACAAATGAGGAAAACACTGATGGTTGAAATACTTACAGCCGAGAAAACAAAGACACCATTGGTAGAAAGGTTAGAATGAAAAGATGGGAGTGGACCAAGATGGACAGCTAAGGAACACAGAGAAAAACTATAGGGAAAAAAAAGTAGTCCAAATACACTGCACCCATCAGCTACCCAGTCTCAAATGGTATAAAATGACTGTTGACTTGTGGGTTAGAGAAAACCTTCACATGGCCAGTAGCCAAGGAAGGCTAATTAGAAAGCAATTATGACACAGGGAAATGGTTTTGATGGGTCCTCACTGGGGAGCTACCTACTACTCTGACTAAGCAAGCATTTCCATTGCCTTGGAAGATATCTTTAGTCTTCCTCACAACAATCAAAGCTGGTTTAAACTACTATAAGAGCCGTTAGCTCTTCCTGACTTGGATGAAAGACAACCATTATAAATTGAAACAACAGGACCAATATCAAGTAAAATTCAGTCTAAATTACCTTAGGCAGATACTTTAAGCTGGCAGAGAATTTCAAGTTAAGGTCAAGGGCAGACAGAAAGCAATGAATTCTGAGCCTGCGCAGTTTGTTTTGAAATTTGTGACTGGTGTCCCTTAATTTGCAAACTGAGATTGTTCAAAATGAACAAATCAATGAATGATTGCAAATCAAGAAAAACAACTGAATGAACAAATGAGAATGAGAGGATCCAGTGCATTTGGAAATAAAGCAAGCAATCATGACGTTGGACAAAGCAGTCCACCTTCTGACCAAAATACAGAAGATTCTCCAGAAAGGATTGACGCAGTAATGAAAGGGAGAAATCATTGACTGGAAAACATGATTAAATGGTATGAAGTGAAAGAAAAAGAAAGACAGACAGAAGAAACAGATGAGAAAGAAGATATGTAGGTCATAAATGATGAAGGCACTGACGCAGTTTTAATGCTAACAACCAAGAAAACACAAAGACACCATTGGTAAATAGGATAAAGGACAATATGAAATACCTAAGGAACAGTGAGGATATAGAATGACTATTGGCAAGATAAGATGTATCGCAAAAGCACTGACATTTGACCTAAATAAACAGAAACTGGGACAAGATCAATTGAACTTGACACTGTGATAGAAAATAATGAACAGTTTTAGGAGGAAATCATTGACAGCAAAACAGATTGAGAGAACATTAAGGGGGCAAATGGTACAGAAGAGAAAACCTGTGTGAAAATTAGCAAGGATGAAAGATAAAAGGACAATGTTTAGAAAGGACCTGCTCATCAGTAATTTTGGGCACGTCTGCCCAGTCAATTTTGTGGATGACAATGATGCCCTTCATTATGCTAGCTGAGTTAGTTCACAATTAACAGTATTCCCTATTTTGTTGACCAACTTAAATTAACACCATAACAGAAACAGAAAATGCAGGAGAAACTCAGAGTTAATGTTTTTATTCTGTTAGTTCTGTTTCTCTGTCCACAGATGCTGCCAGATCTGCTGAATTTCTTGAGCATGTTCTGTGTTTATTTCCTGTTTCCAGCATCTGCAGTATTTTGCTTTCAGCATAACACGGTGTGCTTTGATTTACATTGTAGCTGTTAACAATCAGATAATTTACAATTTTACTTTTGTCATTTTTATAAAGGTGGGAAGGCAGATGCAGATGAGCAATGGAATGAACAAACGAGAATGAGAAAATCCAGTGGAATTGGAAATGGAGCGAATAATCATGACATTGGACAAGACAATCCACCTTCTGACCAAAATGCAGAATATTCTTCAGAAAGGATTGATGCAGAAAGGAAAGAGGCAAATGCGACAACGGAAAACATTGAAAACACATATGACCTGAAAGAAAAGGAAAAAGAGACAGGAGAAACAGATTGCAAAGAAGGTATGTAGGTTATAAATGAGGAAAAACTGATATAGTTGAAATGCTTAACGATGAAAAAAATGTAAAGACACCACTGGTAAGAAGGAAAATATGGGAAAGGACCAAGTGGAACAAAGAGGAAAACTATAAACAAAATAATAGGCATTAGAAAGGCAAACTGGCATTTCATTCAAAGATACAATAGGATGGAGAAGAACTGATCAAAAATGGACTAATCTACAGAAGAAATCATTGACGTTTTAAAGGGTGAGTTAATGAACACCAATAGGCATTTATCATCAGAAAATAATACTTTGATTTGAAAGGAGTGAGTAAACAGAGGTATCTATAATTGTTTGTTTCAATTCCTCAGCATTCCACTTAACATTATCAGCAGCAGAACAAGTCGAGGTAGTTTTTATGAGGGAAACATTTACAGACAGCAGCGTCATGATTTGTTAAACAACCTATAAATTATGATAACATGTACAATTGTACAGGGAGATTTAGATCTCACTCCATTTTTCTGCTATTAATCTCATGACAGAGGTTAACTTCAAACCACAATGTTGTGCAAGAAAAATGTAATTATTAGCCCAAATTCATTGGCCATGTGTGACAGTTATATGGTCTCACTACACACCCATTAGCTACTTGTCCTCAAATGGTACAAAGTGACTACTGACCTGCAGGTTAGAGAGAGCCTTCACATGATCAGTTGGCAAGGAAAGCTAATTAGAAAGCTGTTATGACATAGGGAAATGAGTATGAGAGGTCCTCAGTAGAGGATTCTCTGCTCCTTTAGGCTGGACCTAGACAAGTATTTGCATTACCTTCGAGGCTCTCTTCACTCTATCAGACAACATTCAAATCTGTTTTCAGCTGTTATGAATTCCTCTTGCTAACTTGGATGGAGGGAAATCATTACAAATTGAAACAATAGAACCAATTTAAATTAAAATTCTTGCTCCAAATTGCCTTAGACAGGTATATTAAGCCTGCAGAGATTTTCAAGTTAATGGCGAAGGCAGAAAGAAAGCCAGGAATCCCGAGTGAGTAATTAACCTGCTGAGATTTACCTACCCATCTGCCCAGTTAGCGCTGGGGTTACGACTGATGTCCTTTATTTTGTAAGCCAAATTGTTCAAAGTCAACAGTGTTCTCTGTTTGACAACCTTAAAACTGCATCATACTTAGACTTTTAACTGCTTCTGTGATACATCAGATTATCTATGTTGTATATAATCGTAATCTTTTTCTAAAAAATTATCAAAGGAGAGACCACAGATCAAGAAAACCAATCAAGTGAACCAATTAGAAGAAGAGATTTCAGTGAAGCTGGAAATGGAGTGAACAATCAAGATCTCGGACAAAGCAATCCACCTTCGAACCAAAATATAGAAGATCCACCAAAAAATTTTGCAACAGTAATGAAAGAGGATGATGGACAATGGGCTGGTGGCACAATGGAAAAGAAGGACACACAAGAAACAACTGGAAAAGATGGAGTGCAAGTTGTAAAAGAAAAGGATGCTGGAACTGTTGAAATGTTGGCAACTAAGAAAACACAAAGACTCCAGTACTAGACAGAAAGGAAAGTAGATAAGAGAATTTTGAATAACTAAGGAACAGTGAGGTGGAAACAATGGAATAAAATAATAGTTAAGATGAAAGTGAAACTGGCATTTTACTCAAATAGTAGTCGAGAAAAAAATAAATCAAACCTGGGTGAATCTGTGTTAAATAATTAAAAATTAACAGATGAGTTAATCGACATCATGCAGATGCAAAACATATTAAAGGGATACATGGAATGGAACAGAAACATGGGTGAAAGTAAAAAAGGATGAAAGGACAGTGCAGGAACAAGAACAGAAGAGGTAAAATAACACACAAGAAAAGTCAATGAATTTTACAAATCAAAGCAATGGCCTACAAGTTGCCAACATGTCAACCAATGCCAACATTGTGAGGAGCCAACAAAATAAGGAAAGAAATGAATACCTTTCAGAGAGTGAAATGAATTAAATTATATGTGAAAACAAAAACCAAGTGCATCATTTAAACAATTTTTTAATGGGCTTAAAGGAAGACAAAATATCTAGAGCAAACATTTATGAAAGTAATGCTAAAGTGGAAGGGTGATTCAGAGCAACTAAGACAGAAGATGTTAGGTGGGTTGGTTAAAAAAAAGGATTGCTGGCTGCTTTTCTTGTTTGTGTTGTATGAGTTCAGAATGAAAGATCTAAAAAATAATAAGCAAGTGAAATTTAGTATTTTTGTTTTGTGGGAGCAGTGGACAAAAAGGGAGAACCAGCCTGAACAATCGCAACATTAAAAATATAAAAGTAGTGTTTTAGTTGACTTAAGATTAATTATGTCAATCACTGTTTATTTCTTTGTAGATTTACACAATAATTCAGAAATGAATCATTAGCAACAGATTTGAGTGTATCATCTTTTAGTTTAAATGTCTAAATCATCAATAATTGCCTTGAATTGCTTAGCTTTGTCCATTCTGCTGATAATCTTTTGTACAAAATTGGATTGTCGAGCAGAATATACAAATTGCGTAGAGGATTGCCAATGTAATTTGAAAGCAATTATTTCATAATCTAAGTCACCAATGTCATCTATAACTAGAATGATGCAATAATGTGATCACACTTTTCTTCAACAGTAAAATGACTGTGAGCTAAGTTATTGTAATTTTCCTTTTAATAAAACGAATTATCTCACATAGTTTTATTACCAGTGTCAATGTCAAGCCCATAAATTGTGTTCATCTTTGTTGTGTGTTTGAGAGAGAGAGAGAGACTCATCATGGTTATATGTTGTCAGCCTACGGCTCTGGAATTTCAATCTGAAGTGCTAGCAGGCAGGACATCCAGTCAATGGGGAGAGAAGAGGAAGATTTATTGATTCCATTACATAAATTGGATAAAAATTGAATTAACGATGTTGTTTGGAGTAAGCTGGTAGAATGTTTTTGAAAGTATGATTTAAGGAGCTGAGTAAATCATTTAGAAGATAAAAGTATACATTTTAAACAATTTCTAAAATCATAGCTGAATATATTTACGAAGTCAGATGTGATTCCTTGTTTCTCTCACTTTCAGTAAAGTACTTTGTCTATCATTGCTATATTACTTAAGAAATACCAGAGAATTAAAAGACGTAGGAGCAGAGGAGGCCATTCAGCTCACTGTATCCGCTCCACTGTTAACTGGTCTGGATAGGATGCTCTTCAGAGGGTCAGTGCGGACTCAATAGGCCAAATGGCCTGCTTCCAAAATGTAGGGATTCTATGGTTCTATATAGTGATCACCTGACTCTCACAGACTGTTTTTATGAAATTTGGCCAATGTGAATTAGATGAAAGATAACCCAAACTGATTTTTTAAATTTATCTTTCATTATAGTGGGCTCTAATTCTGTTTTGAAATTGTGTATGTCCTTTGTCTGTGCTTGGTGGCTCTATGCTTGGTGTCGCATTTTAATAACTTTTCTCAGTGTTAACAAATGACAAAATTGATCTTTCTTTTGCAGAAGAAAATGTTATCATAAGCTCCTTATTTCTTACAGTGGAAGCAATTAACCCCTTTTTATTTGGAGAAAGGTATATTCACATGACAAAAATAAGTTAAATTTGCGGTGTTTGAAAAGAGGAACATTGATTCATTCTTCCTCACCCAGTCATAAGAATAATAAAATGTTGTAAGGCACGTTGCAGGAGCATTACCAAACAAATTTAGATACTGAACCACAAAAGTTTTAGCTCTATGGAATTGTCGCACTGTTATTTAGAAATCGGCACGTGGGCATGGAACTGAACTTTGTGTGTCAGCTGTCCCGATACAAAATTGGATTGCCTTGGAAGGGATCACAAATTTCCTGGAAGAAAATCAAATATAAAAACATCTTTTCTCACTTGGCATGCAATCATATAGCAATCAAATTTATCAGCAGAGTAGAGAAGAGTTTTAATTCCAGATCTATGAAGAGGCTGGACTTTCCTGAGATTGTTGGCAATGTGTTTTTGGGACCACTTCCAGCACCTCATCATGCTGGAGGTTGGAGTGTGAACCATGTCAACATTTGTAGGAGGAAACCAATTAGCGGATTCTGTCCACCAATGAGGGAAAGAACTGAACAGCTCTGTTTAAAAAGCTTTCAAAGCAGATACGATCAGACAGTGTGATTCTCAGAGAGCAGATTTTCAGTTTTAACATGGCAATTGGTTGTGGGTAGTGCAACTCCTAAATTCGGCTATGCCTCCCATATTAAGCCATATTAATGCAATCCAAGCCAAGATGAATATTTTTCTTTCTGGAAATGAGAATGGTAAGGCCTACCAGGCAAACAATGAAAGCATCGTTGGAGGTCATTGAAGGTGCCTGCAGCCCTAGAGTGGTGAACTGGAAGGGTCTGAGGAAGGGTCACCGGACCCGAAAGGTTAACTCTGTTTTCTCCTTCACAGATGCTGCCAGACCTGCTGAGCTTTTCCAGCAACTTTGTTTTTGTTGTTGTGGTGAACTGTACTTGGGTCCATTGAAGGAAGTACTTCATTGACCTTTCACAGCCTGACAAAGTGCATAGGATGCAAAGCCAAACCAATAATCAGAGTGTTGTAAATTGATGGTACTTCTTGGAGCAGTAGGGTCTCCCATACAGTATCATGTGAGTATACCGATGATATGTGTAAGAAGTGTCACTTTATTCACTCATGGGAACTGGTCATTGGTGGCTGGGCCAGCATTTCTGGCCTGTTTTAGTTGGCCTTGAGAAGGTGGTGGTGAACTGGTGCTGGTGACCTTTGAAGCATTACAGTCCATTTGTTGTAGGTAGACTGACAATGCCATTAGGGAAGAAATTCCAGGATAGTGTGACCCAGTCACAGTGAACAAATGACAAAATATTTCTAAGTGAGAATGGTGAATGGATTGGAGGAGACTTGGAGGTGGTGGTGTTCTCATGTATCTGCTGCCCTTGTCCTTTTAAATGGTGGTGGTTGCATGTTTGGAAGATGCTGTCTAAGGATCTTTGGTGAAATTCTGCATCTATATCTGTAGATGGCACATGTTGCTACTGAACATTGGTGGTAGCTGGAGTGAATGCTTGTGGATGTGGTACCAACTCATTAGGCTCACTAATACCCTTAAGGGTAGGAAATCTGCCATCCTCACATCTGACTCCACATCCAAGGCTCTCAACTGCCGTCTGAAATGTCCTAGCAAGCCACTCAGTTGTATTCAATTGCTAAAAAGTCTCAATAAAGAAATTAAACCAGACAGATCACCTGGCATTAGCGCAGTCACTGGAAAAGATAATAGCAGTAACAGCCCTGTTGACTCTGCAAAGTCCATGTTACTAATATCTGAGAGCTAGTGCCAAATTTGGAGAGCTGTCTGTCAGGCTACTCAAACAACAACCTTGTATAGTCATTCCCACGGAATCATACCTTACCAATAATGGCCCAGACACCACCATCACCATCCCTGGATATGTCCTGTCCCATCGGCAGGACAGACCCAGCAGAGGTGGTGTACAGTCTGGAGGGTGTTGCCCTGGCAGTCCTCAATGTTGACTCTGGACCCCATGAAATCTTTTGGCTTCAGGTTAAACATGAGTAAGGAAACCTCTTGCTGATTACCACATACTATCGTCCCTACTGATGAATCGGTACTCCTCCATCTTGAACAACACTTAGAGGAAGCGCTGAGAATGGTAATGGCACAAAATGTACTCTGGGTAGGAGAGTTCAAATTCCTCCACCAAGAGTGACTCAGCAGCAGCACTACTGATTGAGCTCGTCGAGTCCTAAAGGACATTGCTGTAGACCCAGTCTATCAGCTGATTGTGAGGGAACCAACAAGAGGAAAAAACATACTTGACCTCCTCCTTACCAATCTGCCAGCTGTCCATGACAATGTCAGTGGGACCACCGCAGTGTCCTTGTGGAGAAGTGGTCCTGCCCTCACATTGAGAATAACTTCATTTGGGTTGGGTGGTACTATCGCTGTGCTAAATGGGACAGACTTCAAACAGATCTAGCAACTCAACACTGGACATCCATGAGGTGCAGTGGGCCATCAACAGCAGCAGGATTTTACTCCAGTATAATCTGCAACCTCATGGCCTGGCACATCCCCCACTTGACCATTACCATCAAACCAGGGGTTCAACTGTAGTTCACTAGAGAATGCAGGAAGGCATACCAGGAGCAGCTCTAGGCATACCCAATCTCACCCCAGCCCCTCAAAAATTTAGTTCAAAGCACTATGCACAGCCCCATTTGGTCGACTTGCCAGGACCGTGGTCCCTTTGTGATGGGCTCCACCTGAATTACATTGGAATAGCACACTCCTTCTCTAGTAGATGTGCCAATACCCCATGAATTTGAACCTGTTTCTCCCACACCAATCTTTGAGCCACACATTACCTCTTTAATCACAGAGAACAGCGTCTTTCCCCTAAGTATACTATCCCTGATCACAACTACATTTCTTTTTTCTCCTCCCTCTATCATGTTTGCTCATCTTCTCTGCTTTGTGGGATGATGACAAAGGCCTGCTGCCTGCCAACAATTATATGATTGGCTCTGAGGTAGCTGAATAGCTTGTGAGTGTGAACAAGATGGCAAAAGTCTTCTGCATCTCCAGAGTGGAACGTGCTGTCTTTGTCTCTGAATTAAAAAAAACCTAAAGTCTGAAGAAAGTAAGTTTATTTTCCCTCACCAGTTGCTGTAAGCTATTGTTTTTAACCAACAAGTCAGAGACTTTATAACTTGTGAACCAGTTACTGTGTGCTTCTTGCAGTTTAAGAACTCGAGGAAGTGAGAGATCGCAGAATAGCAAATCCTGGCAAGCAATGAGGATCATCTCAGTGAGCACTGTGCACAGTATTTCCCTCCATCTGCAACACCAATTTTTTTTCTTATTTGTCTGTGTCACTCTGTGTGTGTATGTAAGGGGAGTTTTATAAAGTAGTTAGAAATTTAAAAAATAGAATTACCTGCCAATAGTTGGCCTGGAGCTAGAATCTATTTATTTCTAACAAATTGTAGTGCTTGTTAATTACAGAAACCTGCTATATGCTCTTTCAACCTGGTTCAGAAATGCCAGATGAATTGGGGAATTTTGCTGATGTTGATAAAGTCTTTAACTTTCGTGATGACTTTGGGAAAAGTAAGGCTTGATTTCCAGTGAGCTACCCCGATGAGGTGTAATAATAGAGACATGAGCAGCATAAAATTGAGTGAGAAGGTCTGTTTGTGTTCATGAAACTTCCTGAAATTGATACTTAGCCACATTTTTGGAAAACTTTGCCCACTGTAAATTTTGAAACTGCCACTCACCTTTCTATCATAGCTCGGTTTTACTCTCAATCAAGGTTGTGTTTGCCAGGTTATGCCTGCACGAAGTTGGCATATAACAGTTCTGGGCTCACTCAGCACTTGCTACCAAACACGTGTATTCTGAGGTGAGGTTAAACAGCACTTTAGGATCACTGTCCAGTAGTTACTGTTTGTCTACACTGATCCCAAGTCTCTGCTGCCAACAGACCGGGCTGTCTCCTCTTAACATTCACAATTTTTCCCAGAAGGAAGGAAGCTCTCCATCTATAGTATAGGAAATGCTGATATAAAATATTTAGCATATTTGAATCAAATG